AAAAAGATGTGTAGCATTATATCCACTAAAGGAATCAGCAACATTGATTACCCATTAAAACTACAGTTGTGGGAGTAGCTGTTTTCTCGGAGATTCTGAACAAGAGTGTGCTGATGGAGAAAACGCAGATATCAGCTCCAGATCCAGCAAAGGAGGTAAAAATACCTTAAAGAAAGAAGATTTTATTACTTTATTTCACATCTTTGTATGGGAAATGAGAATCGTATAGATTTATGGAAACTACTATAACATTTCACAACTAATTTTTCTAGTCTTCAACATGTTATTTATCTGATTATGGAGTAGAAAGGTGATAATATGTCTCTCGGTGCAGCTATTTCCCTTTCCTAACGAAGCACACCGAAATGTGCTCGAAAAAGCCTTTCTAATTTTTATTCAATTGTTTCAAAACTCAACGAAAAGATATCGAAAATTTGGGAAGATTTAGAGAGTTGTGAAAGGCGAATTACTTCCTGACTATATTGATGCGCCTAGGCAGATGAATATAGGGCAACATCATAAAATAAATCTTTAACCCTCGGGCGAAGGTAATCTTGGCGAGAACGTTCAGGTTGATTTCGATTCTATGAAAGTTCACGTAAAGGGAGCTTCAAATGAATTTGCTCCAGCCTGGCTCTCGTTAGACTTGGTTTTGGGAAATTTTAAAACAACATACAAATTCTAATTAGAGCCCCTTGACATCAAAACTTGGCTTGAGCTCAAGTTTTGGAAAAGGAAAAAAGCGACCCACCTCCGATGAATCCCGTTGACACAAGTACCGCTGCCTTCCATAGTTTAAAATCAGGTATACTGGCATAGGTTAGCCTTTTCTTCTGTGAATTTAGTAAAAATAATGCGATGGCAAATGAGCTCCATATAGAGACAAAAAGCATCTTCTTTTGAGCTGCGTCAAACATGTCGTCGACCTAGATTCGAGTTTTAAGCAGTTGTAGGTTGTATGCGAGCTTGTAAATCCCACAAATGCAAATCCTAAGCACATTCCAGGAATTGAACCAAAGCAACCAAATAACAGACCACGCTCTTCAATTTTCACTCTCATGAAGAGCACAACAAAGAGAGCGCAACCCATACCTTAATTGTAACATTGAGATTTTGACTTATCATGCACCAATACTCACCAAATGTCTGAATCATTAATGAAAAATCTCTGGCTGTTATAGGATCAATATGCAGAAGTAATGTCATAACGGGAAATGCCACTGCTCCTCCTCCTTCTGATGTCATTCCTGTAATTATCCATCGGAGATATATTGAAATCCACAAAATTCGGTCATTCTGAGTTCTTTGTGCTTCTCTC